CAGAACTAATTAGACTGATTAGACCGGGCAACAATGTGAGTTGCTGCTGCTTTCCTATCCGCTTGAAACAGTCTAGCTTTTCTGCTCTGACTTCACCAGGGCAGTTTCACCCAGAGAACTGGCACTCATTGACCAGTCTTTCTCTGACCGTTCTCCTTAAACTCTAGTGTGAAGGAAAATCCCAGTAGATCAGCAGTTTCTCAAACAACAAGTCACTTAAATCACTTTTCTTCCACATTCTGATGCTCTGTTTGAACTTCAGCAGGTTGTGTTGACCCTGCGTACATGCCTAAATGCTTTAAGCTGCTGCCGTGTGATTGGCTGATTAGATATTTATGTTAAAGAGCAGTTGAACAGGTATACCTAATTAAGTGGCCAATAGGTGTTGTTCATGTGTTCTTATTCTCAATTAGAGCAATGAATAGATCATTTAAATAGTATTTATTCTTTTTGGTGTCCGGGTGTGTGTTAAATAACAAAACGAGTTAAAATGAAAAGACATTTGAGACGTCTTGAAGTCTTGAAACTGTGTAATGTGAACCCATCTGTTGTGTATGCATCCATGTAAGCAATGCTTGTTTCTGCTTGATTACCAACATATTTAATTTGTTGCAACAGAACACTGTGGACAAACTGCTCAAGGATACAAATCTGGCCGTGGTGATTGGTACGCGCTCATGGAAAGAGCAGTTCATCGGGGCGGTCACAGTCAGTGCAGGTCAGTGGCATCTTTTTATTTATTTATTGTTTTGTGTTTTTGTCATTTTTTGGAGCTTCACTTGTAAATTTCTGAAATTCAGGTTTGCCTGTGAATCCTTATGCATGAAATTTATTGCACTGCATGTAATATTATTATAAGAGTTTGTGAATGTTATAATTAAGAAATGAAGACTTGTACTTTTGAAACCAGGTATGGACACAATGTGGTCTGGGAAGTGTGGTAATGTCTCTGTGTTGTAAATGGTAAATGGCCTGTATTTGTATAGCGCTTTACTGGTCCCTAAGGACCTTTACACAACTTTACACAACCAGTCATCCACCCATTCACACACAC